TTGAATTATTCCTGTCGCCCGCATTTCTCGGACCAATTTCTCAATTTCATTCTTCTGGACATACGGATAGCGATACGGCCTAACATTGACTGGGGCTGAATTTGGCTACAGAGCAATCGTATGATCCTGAGCCCGGACGGGAGGAAGCACATTGGGCCATTCAAGCACCCCTCGAAACCGTTGCAACACCTTTGCATATGAGTTAAGAGTCCTCTATCACTAAAAATTCATTGTTCACACCCATACTTCCAAGTTCTAACAGTACTCCATGACCACCATCCTTAATCGCCTTAACCATTGATTTTAGAGAAACCTGTGTCTTATGTAAGCTCGGATCCCCTTGCAACACAACCAATTCTACGGCCAACTTAAAAGTCATTGTCAATGTACTCGAGTTCACCTGCATTTGGCCCAACGTTTCCAACCACTTCATTCCCAATATGACGTCCGTACATCCCAGCTGCAGTGGAAGGAAATTGTCCACGACATCAATGCTTGGCAGAGATACTGTTACTCTCCTACAGATCCCTCCGCCCCTTACTGATAGTCCAGTTCCAATGAGCACCCCATAGCTAACGGTGCACGTGATCAGTAGAGCTAACTGACCAACTAGCTCAGCTGAAATGAAATTGTGGGTTGCACCACAATCGATCATAACTAGTACGGGATGATCCAGAATGTTCCCAATCAGCTTCATAGTTCGGGGAGCTGTGGGACCCACAATCGGTTAATTGGCAACTCGACCACTCGTTGGGCTAGGCCCATGATGTGGCCCAACCTGCGAGGCTTCATCATCCTTATCTTAGCCCGGATAGGCGCCTTCAACCCATTAATGAAGCTGCTCTCTAACACTTCGTCTAAAATTTCCGGTAATGGGGTGGCCAAAACTTCGAACCTCCTTCTATACTACTTGACCGTCCCTTCCTGCTTCGAAGATAGAAACTTCTCCAAAATGGAATCCTCCTGCGATCGTCGAAACCGTTCCAACAATCGCCTCTTCAACTCCTCCCAACTTTGAATGATCTGACAACTATCCTACTATTGGTACCAAGCTAGAGGTTTGCCTTCAAAACAGATCCCTGCCGCCTCAACCTCCTCCCAATCGGATAATATATTCATGGCAAAGTACCTCTCAGCTCGAAACACCCGTCCATCCGGGTCTTCCCCATTAAACACCGGCATTTCCAATCTCTGGGATCTTACTTCTATCTTCCCCTGTTCTTCTGATTTAGACCCCATCCAGTAAATTTGGCCATTGTGTCTGAGGTGAGGGTGGGTTCTGCTGAATTGGTTGCTACTCCCTTTTCTTTTTGATCCACCTCCATACCTTCCCAACTTTTTCTGATGAATTCGAATTGTTCCATCATGGACGCCAGGCTTCCCAGTTGCGTTCAGCAATTATCACTCTCTTCAGGATCTTTGCTCTGATACCAAATTGATAAGATCCTTATGGAGTAAAAGATTCAACACTGAATATACTTTTATTAAATTACCGGAAATGAAAGAAGGGAGGACGAAATCCAAGCCTTTCGATAGGTCTGGTCTCTCCCCAAGACTTACAACCAAGAAAACGTGAATGAATGAAAGCCCTTCCCATTACATTTATAGCCATCTCCCTCCCTCTGACTCAATTTCCTAATCTACCATTCTTAACCAACTAACTGATCAGGTGCCCCATCTAGTTTGTTACTAGCCGCATGTTCCCCTTTCTTCCTCCTCACGTATGTGAAGTTAACCGGGGGCCTATCAACGTTTCACCATGGCCAACCAATTTTATGTAACGTTTCACCATAGCCACCTAATTTTTTCACAATTTTCACTAATTTTAAAATGGGTAAATTGGTAACTTTGCATTATATATATAAAATAAATTTAAAAAAAAAATTAAAATGAAAACTTATTTTAAAAAGGTGATTTAAAAAAATAAAATAAAAACTTATTTTAAAAAAACTTACTCAGAATAATAAAATAAGAACTTATTTTGAAAAAAAAACTTTTTTAAAATACAATAAAAACTTATTTAAAAAAAGTTACTCAAAAAAATAATATAGAATGAAAAGTTATTTAAAACAGTGTTCCTTTAAAAAAATAATAAAAATTTATTTAAAAAAAAAGTTACGTAGAAAAATAAAATAAAAACTTATTTTAAAATGAAAAATTTTTATCTTTTGAAATTTATTTTATATATATATATATATATATATAATACAAAGTTAGAGGAAATTTAATCAATGCTCACTGAACTTTAGAATACATTATTACTTGCTCATAGCCGATTCCGACACCGTCGCGAAAAATGACGAAATTGGCCCCGGCGCGAAAAAAAAAAAAAAAAAAAAAAAAAAAAAAAAAAAAAAAAACTCAGCTGGAAATTAGAAACCCTGCCGAATGGATTTACAAGCGAAATCCTAACTCTGCCTCCCTTACATTTTCCACCAAATGACCAACCAAAAACCACAAAAATGGCAATAATCTAATGGGTTGCTTCCACCATTTTGTCATTGTTCTTCTTGGCTCTTGTGAAGAACTTGTACCCTCCAAAAAAAAGCAAACCCCAGCCACATAAGGAGACATTCACGAAGTGCTCTTCCTTCCTCTTGGATGGACTCATGAGGTCTTTCCAAAAATCAACTTTAGGTGGCCCATGACGATCAGCGGCGCCAGCGAGGCCACGACGGGGAATCATAGAGGTAGACTGAGCGAAGGTTGCAGCCAACGAAATAGCCATAGTGGCAGACTGAGCGAAGGTTGCAGCCAACGAAGTAGCCATAGCTTTGTGCTTTTTTTCCCCCCAAGATCGAACGGGCGTCAAACAGCAATACTAGCTTTCATTTTCTTGCCAAAATGGAACCATAGGCGAAGCGTCCCAAATTCACCCCCAAATCAGTGAAGAACCCTAAAAATTGCCCCCAAATCTGCTACACTTACTAGGTTGTATTCAGGGTCCAAGAACTGGAGGAAGAAGATGAAGTTCCGGGAGTGGCTTTCTACACTTTTGGCCCATTCCATGTGTGATGTGCCACGTTGGTAGATTCCGTTAGTTTAAAGTGACGGAAATCAGACGAGTGATCAACGAGTAAGCAATTTGATAGATGAGTAAGCAATGAGTAATGTTTTAATGCTTAGTAAGCAAGTAGTAATGTAATATAAAGTTCAATGAGCATTCATTAAATTTACTCTACAAAGTTATCGTTTTACCTCTTTTAAAATTAGTGAAAATGGTAAAAAGAAATTGGGTGGCCATGATGAAATATTATATGAAATTAGGTGGTGGTGATGAAACATTATATGACATTGGATGGTCACGATGATACTAATTATAATGTTAGGTGGATATGGTCACACTATAAAGTTAGGTAGTCATGGTGAAACAAAATCAAATTGGATGGCCATGGTGACATTAAGTATAAAGTTGAATGGCTATTGGTGGATTTAAACCTCTAATATACCTTTTTACCAAATTGATTTGACACGGTAGTTGGGAAATGGTGCATTTTATTAGGTCTCTCTTGAAGAATGAATGAACTACATTTGCTGGGCCGCCATGTGTGTTGAACTTTCAATATAGGAAAATGAAGTAGAAATCATCTAGCAAATTTGGTCAAAGAGAATATGGAAAGAAGTTTTTACTTTCAAAAAGTGGACCTTAGTTTGGTATCAAGAAGGGGATAAAGATATTCATCTCATGAGAAATGAACATATTTACTTGGACCTTTTCTACTGTGCAGCCCATTCCATCCTCATTTATTATGCTATTTTCAGTTTTGGATTGGAGCCCATTGATAAAGTCACCCGCCACAGCCAACGGCGGTGCTAACACCTTGAAGAGATGCCAGCATTCCTCCTCTTTCCTTCCCCATTCCCCATTTCCCCCTTCTTCCATCATCAGATCAAGCTTCTTCATCATTATTGCCAAACTTCTCTTGAACTCAAATTTTATGGCTTCTATTCCCCCTCTTATTTCTAAATTCATTTTTTCAATCTTCACTTCCAGATTGCTGACCCGATTTTCTAATTCATTTTCTTCATCAGATGTAATGTCCCTGATGTCACCTGCAGGATAGTGCTCTGATACCATTTTGATAAGGTTCCAGCTGTAAAGAAAATAACGACAAGAAATAGTGAAATGAACTTTGATTGAATTGTAGAAAAATTACAAAGAAAATAAAGAACAATTAGCCATTCGAGAGGGCTATAACTCTCCTAAAGGTTTCCCTTCTACCCACTCAATAATTGTCCCCTATTCTCCTCCAACTCTTCCCAATTTATAAGCTACTTGTAACTGATTTTCCCTCTCAGTTTTACTCTCTAACAAACTCGTTTTCCACCCACTTGCAAGTTATTCTTCTTCTAGGTCCTTCTAGAATGCATGAGGTTGATTGGAGCCTATCAATGTGTTGTGTACATCTTGCCCTATCTATTTTTAAAATCTGAGACTAAGCTTCATGAGCTGGCACTTCCATTGGTAGAAATTGAATAATCAGGTTTTCCATTTGTTCTCTGTTTTTCTAGGCTCTTCGCTTATCTCCTTCTCATGGCATTAGACAAGTAAACTTTGAGAGCCAGAAGATTGCTCAGATATTTTCTAATTGGATTTCTCTAGGCAAATGAGATAGTAATCCTTGACCATGTCCTAATCAGCTTCTTTCTCTTAAACATGGGCAATGATAAAAGAGGAAATGAGTGGCAGGATAAAAGGTGAAACGGGAAAGTATATATACGGTGATTTTATTTTTTTATTTTTTTGGTATGGTACATCCAAACAACACTTTCTTCTTGTTAGTGAGTATTGCTGTTGACCACTCCATTGTCTATCATTTTTTCCCCTTCTTTCTGTTCTCTTCCTCCTGTCTCTGATACATTGTGTGGATATGCATTCATCTATCCGGGTGTTGACTTATTTAAGAATTCATATCTGGGGGTTAACTTATGAATTCGATAAACACGTGTTTCATGATAACCTCTTCTTTCGCTAAGATTGTGCATTTTGCTCATCGCAGCTATGAAGCTACCTCCTCCACGAAGAATCGTAGTCTTGCAAAGGAGCTCACGACTGGAGCAGTGGCATCTGTCTTCTTGGTATGTCAATAATATCTAGCATATTCCTACTGTTTGTTTTACCATCTATTTCTTGGTCATAACAAATCCCTTTTCACTTGTCAGGGTTTCGGATCCTTGTTCTTGCTGCTTTCTTCTGGCATTTATGTTTGATTAATTGAATAGATTTTGTTGAACAAACTTCCTTCATATGGTTACTTTTTTGACATTCTGAGGATAACTTGATTTCTGGGCAACAGGGACAAATGCAATTTGCAAGGCAAAGTGTGCCAATGACACTGATATGAATATTAGAGAAATAACAAGTATTTATAATCAAAGCATGTTCTAAATTTTGATTTCTTATACTAGCTGCCCCCTACTATTTATTTGCACAAACGGAGCACGAGTTCCTCTATCTTATTATTGGCTGTGGTTGCTGAATATAGAGTTCTGTATTACTGTGATTGGAGCACAGGGTGTTAAAGTTTGTAGCCGGGTTTTAGCTAATTGCCTAAAATTTTGCCCGAAAATAAGCTCGAGAAAATTACGAGATGTTCTTGAAAAGAGACAGAATGAAGAAGGTTTACAGAAAACGAGTAAATTTAATCGATGCTCACTAAACTTTAGTGTATATTACTACTTGCTCACCCAACATTAAAACATTAGTCGTTGCTCACTCATTTATCAAATTGCTTATCAGTTGATCACTCATCCCATTTCCGTCATCCTAAACTAACGGACTCTACCACGTGGCGACCGGAATCCAACCTGGCACATCACACATGAATTAGGCCGGACAAAAGTGAAAAAGCCACTCCTGGATCTTCATCTTCTCCCTCCATTTCTTGGACTCTAAATATAGCTCAGTCAGTGCAGCGGATTTAGGGGCAATTTTTTGGGTTCTTTAGTCTTCACGAGTTTAGGGGCAAACTTGGGTTTCGATTTGGGGCAAGAAAATGGAAGCTGGAATTGGGGGTGATTCTGATTGTTCATGGATTTGTGGGCGAATTTGGGTTTTGATAAATTAGAAATCCAAAAAACTTTCATGGAAGTTACTATGGTCGAATCTCTCGCATAGAGTGCTCAGATAACTTAGTCGAACGGTGAAGAGATCGGTGGTAGGGAAGATGAATTTGGGCTGCTATTGTTCCCACGATTTGGCAGCTCATGGCGATGGAAATTCCGGCTTACATTCCATTCATCATCCCTTGTTTTGTGGTTTTTGGTCAGTCATTTAGTGCAGACAGAGGTGGGATTTCGCCTGGGTTTGGTGTTGAACGGCAGGATTTGTGAACCCATGCCGACTGGGCGTTCGCCTTCCGTGTTCCAGCTGAGTTTTTTGATTTTCCGTCTGATTTATGTGCCACGTGGCACATTCCGTTAGTCTAGAATGATGGAGATCAATTGGGTGATGAATGGGTACGCAATTTGATATATGAGTGAGCAATGAGTAATGTTTTAATGTTCGGTGAGCTGGTAGTAATGTACACTAAGGTTTAGTGAACATTGATTAAATTTAGTCAGAGAAAATTGGTAACTAAACTTTGTGCCATATTAATTGGGTTATCTAACTTTCATAGGTTAAATCAAATTACCAATTTCATAATTATTTCATTTCAAGTAACTTTGGCACTTGGCGTAAACTATCGAGTCAGGCCATACTAAAATGGAAAAAAATTGTTTTGAGGTTTAAGTTATAAATTTTTCTTTGTTTTCGGAAATGACAGACACATTTTGAGCATTTTCGAAAATTAAAAATGGCTAGAAAACGGCAAACAAAATGCACTCTAAAATTCCCAAGGGAAAATCCTACCAAAATTTCGAGCCAAAAACTTGATTACTGGCTTTAAAAACATTATTAATTTTGTTAGGTCAACAAGTTTAATAACATTGAAGTTGATTGAGAGTCACAAAATGGGGTTTGTAGACAATGGTGGACTCTTAATCGATAAACACTACTAATTTCTTAGGGCTTCAAATTCAGTCCGTTTGTCACCTATAGAGCTAACGGGTTCCCTTCATTGCGCTTTTTTTTTTTTTTTTTTTTTTTGTCTTTCAATCGTCAGGCTTCGACCTTATATTTATTTGTCAATGGCTTGATGTGTTGCTATTGATATCCTTGTATGGGAAAGATTAAAAAGTTGAGATCAAAGTCAATAATTAATTGTGACCACACGTTACACTGGACCCATAATTAATACCCACTTTTCTACCACCCGTTTTGTGGGACCTATCACCCTTTTTTCCAGAGTACTATAAGAGTACTATAAGAGTTACACTCATTTGTAAATTAGAAGAAGCACTGGTTTAAAGAGAAAATAAACATGTAATCAGTAGAATTCAACATGATTAATCATATTTAACATAAAGTAGATTAGAATTAGCTAAAAAATAGAGGACGCCATAAAATTGGCTTGTTGAGTACATTTCTACTGTTGCAGCATGATAGTGGTTCATTTAATAAGATGAATCTGCATAAATTGCTAATCCAAAGTTACCTGCAAAATGAAAAACTGGAAAGATTGACCTACTATTTATATGAATACTGAAACATCTAAGAATAATTCACTTGGGTTCTCCAGTTCTGCAGATTGTGTTCTCCAAATCCCTTTAAGGGCATGACAACGGTAACCCTTGGCAAATTTATCTGATTAGAATGCTCAAGGGCATTTATATCATGATATAGAAAAGCAAAGGTATTGCCTTGTTTCATACTTTCCTTCATCTGTCTCATCTCTCTACGCCTGGGCAAGAGCTAAGCAAATAAAAAATCCCTGCAACAATAAAAGTCTCAGATATACATATGAAGAAATTACTATGAATAGAAATTAAAAAATCGAAGAATACAAGACATGCAACTCAAGAAGAATGCTACTACTAATTTTCACTCTTCTGGCTAACGAAAAAAAAAAAAACAAACAAAATGGAGAGAGTAACATATCGGCTATATTAATTAATATTTCAAATAATGAACAAAATTTCCTCAAATCCAACACAGGTCCACATATCAAAGTCAATAGTTCTAAATGGGTAATATAAATTAGAGGAAAATCATCAATAATATTATTTATTAGAATGGCTTTTTCATATATGTGATGTGTCTATTTACATTTCTAATAATTTTACTGAACATCGGTATAGGGCCACGTTATTTTCGATAAATTAATAGTAAATATCACACATTTAAATCAAATATTTGTGGAAATATAGATGAAAATATACTGCATTATTAGATTGCAGTAGTACTAGTTTAATACAGAATACGCGTGTATTCTAGGACAACTTGATTTTTCCTTCAATTTTAATACAACAGTCCCTTTGTAATTCAACAATTATAGGCCAATTATTAACAGGGAAGGCTAATTATGAAACCTCGTCTTTACTCTCGGCATAGTCCGTCTATTAACTTTAAAATTTCTCTTTTTCTTTTTTCTAGGAATCATTTTCTTCTACTAATCCTTCTTTTGGATTTAAAAAATTATGTTTTCTTTAATCATTAAGCAAACACAGCCGTTTATCTGCTAAAATTCAATGGACTGTGCCGCTTGCATAAGATCTGTTGCACAGACCCTATACAGGACACACACATGGGGGTGGACCCCACACATGAGGTCCACCCCCCATGTGAGATGTCCTGTACAGGGTCTGTGCAACACACCTTGTGCAAGAGGCATTTTTCAAATTCAATATACATGAGTTCCTGTGTCAAAACTCCTGCTGTCAAATTCAACTGCCACTCTAAATCAAAATTCTTTAACCAGAAATTCAAATCATACAGGAACTTGGAGAAAAATGACTTTAAATTAAATTTATATTGGGGGAAAAGTCAAATTGCACAGTTGGCACGTCGTTTGAACTCTCAAAAATATTTGAAGCAAAAAAAAAATAAAAAAAAAAAAATAAATAAATAAAATGAAGTCACATTGTACCTAACGCACAAAAACATTCAAAAAGTAAAATTCTTCTAATCCAATCCTAAATTAATAATTCTCAGATCCAAATCTTTAGAGAGTAAGTGCGTACTCTTCTGTTAATTTTGTTTTTTGTTTTAAATTGTTCTGGCAACGAGAAGAGGGAGAGACCGTTAAATCAATAATATTAGACTTGGGCCCACGTGTGAGGTGGCACGTGTGGAGTGGTGGGGTTGATCACTTTACGAGGAAGATGTTGATTGGTGATTCGTATTTTTTTATTAATTATAATTATAATTTATATTTAATCTGATTAAATAGTTTTGTAACATCAAGCTCCGTTTGATTCTCATTCTTTGCTAATAAAATTGAAAAATATAACTGTTATTCATTACATCAAATCACCATATTTAACTTTATATCTCTTGTGTGGATCCCGTAATGACTATATTTTTCATTCTCATTCTTAGAAAAATAGGAATCAAACGGGAGCCCCATAAAATTAGTCGTTGCTAATTGGCTAATTGTTTGACAACGGCTCTTTAACCAGTAAGAAAAAAAAATTTAATGACAAGTACTGAGCATTTCAAACTTGAGACAAGAAAGAAACATATATAACATGAATTGAAGATGAAATATATATTTGAATAATTATTTTCTTTATTATCTTAACGGTTGATCTCCAAGTATGACCACCCCTAGCTGTCAACATATTCGACTTCTCTATTGTTCGTATGTATCGTACTTGCATGCATGAACATCACGTTAAACTGTAAAAAGTCGTAGCTCCAACAATGCAACTGTTATGTGAACTTCAACTTTCAAGTCAAATGAATAAAAATATTTGATTGTAGGGACACGATGGATGGAAAATAGGGTGATGGGTTGTATATGACTTTTTTTTTTTCAAAAAAAAAAAAAAAAAAAAAAAGACTTTTTTTTTTTTTCAAAAAAAAAATAAAAAAAAAAATTACCTTTGAATATCATTATGTGTGAGCATTTATAGCCAATGGAGATGAGTTGAGGCCTATTGAATCTTTAACACGCAACCTCATTCCAATTGTTAACTGGAAAAATTTAATCGTGTCAATTCATAATCATCATAAGTGTGTGCTCCCATAGCCTGAACATAGGCCTAAAGACTGTTTATCTGACACGGCATCATAGCTTGTGGAGTTGTTGCATTAATTACTCAGTAAATTGTACTTTGTACAACATGGTCAAGGTAAAGTTTGCAGCAAATGTCATCGACTTGGATATGTACCACAGGGAGAGGTACTGCATCGTCTCGAACAACAATAATGCTCCAAGCGAGGCGTTTAAAGGTATGACCAAACTGTCTTGATAATAACATTCTAGCCAAGGTGCCTAAAGACATGAATCGAAAAAGGTATGTGGAATAGGTGATGTATAGTGGAGTACTGATTTTTACGATTTTTTTTGGTCTAATTG